GTGGTTACCATGGGAGAAATTTTTCTATTTATGTTCTGGCTTTGAATAGCTTTTATTTTGAAGATGGGGTAGCAGAAAATGAATCTTAATATCTTTGATTCATGGAAACTTTAAAGGTCTTTATCAGGTACTGCTTTCTAGAGTTCTACAGACTGATTTTTGCTACTCCCTGCTTCCCAGTGAGTCTTGCACCCCAAGCTGATGTGACTCAGGAGTTAAATCCTGCTGGAAATCTGGAACTTGTCAAGCCTTGATCTGCCTTAACATGAACTATTCAGCTCCTATTGTTCCACCTTTGCATGACCCCAATTAAGGCAATTATAGAACCCAATACTTTCAGAGTCTTTAAAGCCAAATGATAAAGATTTATTCCTTAATTTTGGAGTAGTTTGGAATCTTCATTTTTGTGGAGTTGATGAACACTAAGTATTTACTCTCTTCACATATGGAAAAAGAATTGTATGACCTCAATCTCTCATGTCTTCTAAAAGACTTAAGTGCATATTTTCACTAGATCCTACATAGACCCTCTATATAAAATGGGCATTGATGTTTTTATTTTAAGACGTAGGAGGTGCTATGTAACCAAATTATCCTAAATTGTAAGATGGAGTTTACACACCAAGGTAGAAGCACCTGTGGACAAAATGCCCCTAGGAGTCAACTTGGGTGGGAACATGTTTGCTGTGCTGGTTGGACCATTTCTGCTCTAAGTCACGCCAGATGAGGTTGAGAAGATTAGGGGTTGACTTAGCAGCTGTTAGTTACTACCAAATACTGTACGAGCACTAGATTTCAAAAAACTTTGAAATATATAAGTATATATATATACATGTATGTGTATATGTGTAAATATATATATAGTGTATATATACATATTTGCACAAAAAGTAAACCAGGTAGACAGTGTACATCTCTTAAAGGAATTACAATAGCACTTTAAAATAAAATTTAAAAAACTACATTGCCCACAGCATTTAAAATATAGTGTACGTATTTTTGACAGCTTTATGAAGTTTTGGAAAAAATAAAACTATATGCAGAAGACCTAATGATTTCATTTACAATGCCAATTTTAATATTGTGTTTTCAGAGTTCAGACAACCAATACATATCCTCGCCCCCAGCGCCCCACGTATCCTTTCCTTGGTAGCCTCGTGCTGGGCAAGAACAAAGGGACTGAAGTGGCAAGATCTACTCCACATTCTGTCCTACTCCTCCTTCTACCCCTTCTCCTTCTACCCCGACAGGAAGAAATCATGGGGAGGGAGATTTCTGTAAACATGAGGCTCTTGCTCAATGCTCTGGGGAACATAAACCCCAAGTCCTGGCAGAGGGGAAATCTCCTCCCACTTTCTAAAACTAGACAGTCGGGCCTAGAGTGAACCGTGGAGTTCAGCAGCACCGAGCCATCCTGAGTGGTCACAGTGTGGCCACATCAAATCGAAACACACAGGCAATTTGAGTATATTTCCCCTGCCAGTTTAGGATGGAAATGAGAGTGAGAGGAAAGGCCCCAAGAGCCCCAACCTTTTACCCCCCAGGTCACTGGTCCCCTCCTTAGGACCTCCAGGACAAACTGCTCCTCTCTGTGGTGTGGGATGTGCTTGCGGAGACAGCGCGTTTGTTTAGCCTTACACATGAATGCGGAGCATATGGAGAAGTAAACCTCACTGACCACTGCTTCCCCAAGTGACTTCTCTCCCACGCCCCTCATGGAAAGCCCTACAAAGGGAAAATCAATCTTCTCAGCTTTAAACCTGCCTTCTGTCCTCATCAGATGTTGCCAAGCACGAAGCGTTACGGGGGCTCCTATCACAAAGCAAACAGAGCTGGAGCAGCCGGAAGGAGAGCTGCTCTCTAAAAGCTTTTAAACACTGTTATATTTTTAAAACCACTTACTGAAGAGGTGAGTTATTTTCTACTCCTCCTTCCCCAGCAGCACAGACATTAAGGTTACCTAGAAACTTGTCCAGGAAGCATGTGGCAAATAACAACCATGCAATAGAAACATCCGGATTTGTCATCTAATAGGAGATGGTATCAGCAAGGTCATATTTGGGTAAGAGGTGGAAGATGAAACTTCATCAGCTTGCATGCCCCAGCTATTGGGGGGCCATTCCCATGTGCTCCGGAGGAAGGAGACTTTGCTTTTATTTTCGCTGGGAGGGCCTTTGATTGGTACAAGTTGGAATTGAATAAGATCTGAGATCGATGCGTCTCATACTGAAGACTGCCTATGGGAATAAAAAGCAGAGGGAGAATAAAAAGACATGAGATGGGGTCGCCTCTACCCTGGAAGAACATCTAATCCGTAGGATGGATGAAATGGGATGTACACAGAGAATGACCTGAGAACAAAATTGTTTTTTTAAGTTTCAGAAGCAAAATAATATTCCGTGAAGGACCAGAAGGGGGACAAGAAGACTTCTTAGTGAAGGTGGTTTTAAATCAGGTCTTGAGAGACAGTGAGAACAGCAAAGAAGATGGGAGAGAAGGGATGGGGTGGCTGGTATGGTTAGCGAGTCACATGTACTGAGGACATGGATGTGGTGCCGTTTACTTTGATATTTCATTTCCATTATTGTAGGAGAAGGAAAGGGAGATGACTCCTCTTTATTTTTATAACTTTAACTCCAGACTTCCTAAAAAAAAAAGTCTTCATTTCATGAAAGCAGTGTTGCTGTTTCCAAAGAGTTTATTCCTAATGCGTATTTCCAACCAACACCCTCTCTCTGTCAGATGAGGTGATAACATTTGTAATTGCAGAGAAGCAGAAAAGTGTGACTCACCTGTTTCACCACGAAGACTTTGCCGCAGACGTGGGGCTTGGGGAGATTCAGCTGGAATAGAAAAAGCAGAAGGAGCAATGGGCCACTGGGAAAAATGGTCTAGGGATCTTTGCTGCACCCAATTCCCTTTTGCTTTACCCCAGAATATACCCTTTTTCCAATTCATCATAAAGAAGGGGGACTACTGAAACTCAGGGACTCTGGAAGTTAAGCTATCTGCAAACTTGTTCTGAGGAATCAGTGCAAACCCACAGGGCCAGCTATGGGACAATTCCTGGGCTTTCACACTGACTTCTTTCCATTCGATGGTCATCAGTTTTATCAGGGGCATCAGGGCTTCTGCGTAAGCCAGTAAAACATGGCCGAAGGTACTTGAGCAACCACAAAAAAATTTGACACTAAAAATATAGGCAGGAAATCTCCACATGCAAACAATTCTCAGGAAGAGGAGAGGGGTGCGTCATAAAAGTCCGGCTGACATTCTACACTCCTCTCAAATTACATGCAGCCAGTGCCGTCGACCTGAAAATATTGAGCAATATTCCAGCCATCCTCTTGTCACATGTGCTTCATGAATGCGGGGCTCATCAGGCAGGAGCACCCAGGTGTCAAAACACTCGCCAGGGAACTGAGGAATGCGGCCACGGTCTTCTTGGCAAGACCTTGACTGTAGGAGGCACCTGACCTCAGCTCCTCTGAAAATGGAATGAGGCACTTTACAGATCTGTACCTGGTCTTCCCCTGTCACTTTGAAAAGGATAAGAGGCAGGAGTTTAAAGTATGAGTTGGCAGTTGAAAGATTTAGTGGCCCTTCTGACATCCCATGGTCTCAGGAAATTCAGTTAAGCTCTCTGCGAGTTTCCATTTCCCCATCACTGAAATGATGTGAATTCATGCTACCTGTTCGGCAGATATGAAAATGCAGGAGACCCAGGCATTGTTCTATGTGTGGGAGAGTGTATGTGTATTGGTAACAACTGTTTTCTTTTCCAGACTTACTGTTCTCACTACCCTGATGTATCCAGATCAGTTATAACCTATTACTTAGCAAAGTTTCAGTTTAAATTTGTGTCCTCTCACTCACACATAAAACACATACACACACACACTCAAAAAGGATCAGAATTTTTTTTTTTTTTTTTTTTGAGACTGAGTCCATTCTGCCACCCAGGCTGGAGTGGTGCAGTCTCGGCTCACTGCAATTTTTGCCTCCCAGGTTCAAGCAATTCTCCTGCCTCAGTCTCCTGAGTAGCCGCCTACTACTCAGGATTACAAGCACCTGCCACCATGCCCGGCTAATTTTTGTATTTTTAGCAGAGATGGGTTTTCGCCATGTTGGCCAGGCTGGTCTCGAATTCCTGACCTCAGATGATTCACCCGTCTCAGCCTCCCAAAGTGCTGGGATTACAGGCATGAGACACCGCGCCTGGCCAGAATTCTTTGGTCTTTTTTTTTTTTTTTTTTTTCCAACTACAATATGTTTTCCTGAGTGAGGAAAAAAGAATTTACATCACAAGGCAAAAATTACTCATAATATTGCATGCATCTATGAGAACATATTACAATACAAGCACCATTTTCCCTGGGTGCCAGGGGTGGGGCAGTTTAGCTGGAAAAGCTAAATTCTGCTCCACTTGGATTGAAAACGTTCAGAAGTTTTGTTTGTTTATGTATTTGCTTTCTTGCTTACTCACCTGGGACATCTAATCCTTTAGTCTGAATAGTGTCCAGTGAATACCCTCCTGTCCCTCTCCTCAGTCCTCACCCAAATCCAGTAAAGCAAGAGATCAGCAGGGCAGTCAGTGGGCTCACACCAGTGAGGCCAGGAAAGAAAACAGAGCTCAAGAGGGTCCACAGGAAGGTTTCCTTCCTTATCTAGTCCCCAGAGGCTTTTTTTTCCAAGTAAAACTCCCCAGGAACTAAAAACAAAGGAAACACAAAAAATTCAACGTGGTGTAGACATTTTGGTAGAAGAACTTTTTTTTTTTTTTTTCTTTTTTTGAGACGATCTGCTCTGTCGCAGGTGGAGGCAGTGGGATTCAGCTACTGAGCTCGTCCGGTTACGCTTTCGCTCACTGATAGTGGGACTACCCGCACCTCTCTAGTTTTTTTTTTTAGTAGAAGGTTTACTGTTATGGATGTCTCGATTCTGACCTCGTGATCCACCGTCGGCCTCAAAGTGGGATTACAGGCTTAGCCACCCCCCTGAAACTTTATTGAACAGTAAGATTTAAGATTTCACCAGGTGAGAAGGGGAATTGAAAATTAGGAGAAAAATTCCTAGGGGACCAGTTAGCCAGAACAAGGAATGGGGTGCAGGGAACTTCTTAGGGATATATCTTCCCCACACTACGGGTAGAGGAGCAGCATCAGAAGCAGGGCACTGGAGAGAGGCATAGAAGAGAATCACCTTCTCCTGGCCCAGGCAAGCTACCTGGTGTACCTTCAAGTTCAGGCCAGCTGCTGTTCCTGCCGGCTCTTGGAGATGAAAAGGTTTCCCATGCCCCTACCTCCTCCTGAGTTAATTCTCTCCAGGTGCTTCTCTTGATGTAAACCCAGGGTGCTATTAGCAGGCTCCTTTTTGTTCTCTTGCTCAAATCCTTTCCAACCTGCGGAGCTCTGCTGTTTCTAATTTCTAACCTCCATCTTGTTTCTTTGCCCCAATATTGAATTCTGCCATAATCTTCAGATCAACTCTAGTTGTCTCCATTTTTTTTCTGAATGCTAAAACCTTCCAGCCATCTTCTCTTCCACTCCCTGCCCACTCACGAGTCACCTGCATTTCTTACCACAGTCGTCATCCTTGTTTCCATGAACGATCCTCTCCAGGGCTTCCTGCCAGAAAAGTATTTTGCAAGTTTCACTTGAATTTCTACACAATATAATTCTGAACATGTAAATAATATATAAAGCCAATCTATGTTTGGAGCTAAAAGTGACAACAATCTCTCACACTACAGATCCGTCCCAAATTGGTAATGCCCTAAAAATAATAATAAAAATAAGGTGCATAAAAAATACTCAAATCCCTTCGGTTAGTACAAAAACAACTGGTGACCTAAAAACTCAAGGAATGGCTCAGAGTAAAGGGAAATGTAATGTTGACTCTGGTTTACAGAAAGTGAATCTGAGTCATGGCAGACCCTGAAATTTCACATGAACTCATTCTGCCTGTAAATGCCCCGGCATCAATAGTGAGCAAACGTGCATTCTGGCCAGCCAGGCAGAAGCACTTTGTTTTCCATTGTGCGGTGACGCCAGATCCCCATTGCTTCTGACAAAGGCCCTCGTCAAGCCTGTGTGTCATCGCTTGCGTTTGCCACAGCTGCAGGGAGGTGCGTGCAGACCCACTTCCCGACTGCGCATCAAACGGACTCCCTCGGGCCAAGACAGGCAAGCCGGGTCTGCGCGGGGTGCACTGCCACCTGCTGGACTTCATGTGGTGGAGCAGCAGCCTGGAGAGGTCGCAGAGTCCAAAAAGTCCTGTCCTTGAGGTTTGCTTTCAGACAACGGCCAGGACTGACTGCAAGAACAAAAACACTAGCAGAAATATGCACCCGTTACGCAAACCAGTCCTTAAGGCTGCACGTGATCCTTTCCTAACTACAGAATGTGGTGTGGCGTGTATGTGTGCACCAGTGTGTATGTGGCGGGGGGGGAGGGAGGGTGCACCCATTTGTGGTGGGGGGGTATAATGTGGTGTGTGCATGTGCATGTGTCTGTACATGACCTCTCACAGGTAGGAAAAGTGGCATCGTCGTCATCTTGTTGGATTGGTAAGGAATTGTTCAGTTGACAGAGATTTTTATATAATTTGTTCCATTTATTTCCTCACTACGCCGTACAAGTAGATAAAATGTTCTCGACCAAATGAATTGCCAGTGCTCTGGCTTTCTAGTAGAATTACTCATGACCTAATCACACTGGAGGCTGACAGCTAACTAATGATCTTACCCTCTTCTCAAAACACTTTGTCATATGAGAACAAAGACTGTCACGATCCCCCAGCCAGGCAGGGCTGGCCCTGGGCTTGGAGGTGGCGACCAAGTAAGACACAGCCAGCTATGGGAAGAAGTCAACCGCTTCCATGAGGCCAATTGTGGGTGTCTCAGGAAACAGACAAGTTGAGAGTCTAGATTTTTGCCAGATCCTCTGTCCCTTTAGAGACATGCTTGCGTGTCACATGTATGAGGCAACTTTCCCTGCCTAGGAGGTTACTGACTTAAACCCAGGGACACTTCTTGAAGTGGGAGGCCTGACAGACAAAAGCAAAGGTGTTTGATGAATGGCCCTGCTGGTTGGTGATGTGGAAGTGTTTGCTGACAGTTCTGGAAACACCAGGGAGCCAACAGATTGAGTGTTCTATATTTTCCTGGCTACTAAATAATAACAACTACAGTTCCCTGAGGGCTTACTCATGCCAGGCAGAAGGCTAACTGCTTTACCTTTGTATTTTTGTTCATGAAATCCTCAAAATTGCTCTATAAGCCATGCACTATGATCAGCCCTGCTTTCCTGGTGAGGAAACTGAGGCCCAGAGGGGTAAGTTCCCTGCCTAAGGTTACACAGCTCAGGAGTAAGGGGAGGACTCAGGTCTCTGTGGGCCAAAGGCCAGGCTCCTGATGCTGACCCTCCTGCTTCCCTGCCATTAGAGCCCTGCGAGGCCCAGACCTGCCCTCTATTTTCCTGCTCATTTTAGGGCCACAGTGACTCACCAGCCACATGCCCACACCACTCATTTTCACGGAGCCTTCGAGTATGAGAGCAGGGCTTGAGGAAAGAGCTTTCGTTCACTTTGTTTTGAGCCAGGGCAACAGACTGGGAAGTGGTTGGAACACACAGTTCTGGGTCAGAGGTCAGAGAACAGACAGGACTCCAAAGGCTAAAGCAAACAAGATTTCTCACAGCAGCTCTGGCTGCATTGAGACCCGTGGGCTGGGGCTGGCCAGTCTGTCCCCACGTGGGATAGACTGTGTCCAGAAGGGTGGCCTGGCCTGTTCCTGGCTACAGCAGATGAGGAAACCACTGTCCTGGATTCAGCTCCCAGTTCTGCCACATTCCAACTGAGGGCCTGTGGGATAGTTGTGAAGAGCCACATATGGCAATGTCATCTCTCAGGAACCCAAGACACCAAGGCTGCTCACTTTAACATGGCCGTAACACCAGCCAGCATGCCGAACTGTTGTGGGGTAATGAATGGAAGCTAATGTACGAGAAGGAGCTGTTACACTCCAGGACTCTAGATATCGAATTTTATGGTTATCAGTTTCACAGCAAAAAAAAAAAAAAAAAAAAAAAAAAAAAAAAAACCTCTCATTCTCATATTATTCTTATTAGTTCTGGCATGCACTTACATGAGAAATGGCGAAGGGATATTCTGCTTGCAGTCTTTTGCCGTCTGGCAAAAACTTTCCAGACAGGGTGTCATCGTGTGCAGCTTCCATGATGCAGTTTGATCCTGATAGGTAACAAGAGTGACACGTTTTATCAAAATCTTCCTATGTGGCTCAAGGTCACTTCCACTGACACCAGTGCTATTAATATTTCCCCCATTAAGCCAACCCGTTCTAAGAACCAAAGAGAATACCATAGTTCCAGGTTTCGGTTTAAAGGCGCTGATGGATGAGAGTAAGAAGGGAATGAATGAGGAAGTCCAGTCCTCCTGCAGGAGCGGGGAAGCTAAGACCCAGGCCAGCACTGTCCCCCGACAGCCTTCTCAAGGGTGCAGGGCAGCCACGCGGAAACTGGCACTCACTAGGCCAAGACAGCGCAGCCTCCAACCTTCAGACAAAAGCCTTTTGTCTGGGAAGTGCTGGGGGACACCACACAATGCTGTTTCTTTCTAAATTATTTTTTTCCCCTGAATGCTATCTAGATCCTGGAAATCTATTTCCATGAAATGATTTTAAAATATCCTATATGATAAGTGAACACTTGTCATAGACATGAATGTCCAGCATAAGGGGCATAGTTAAGCAGAGGATGGTGTATCCCATGATGTTTATGAGAGTTTATAAACATGTGGAAGAAGGGTACAATAGCATAAAGGAAGGCTTGTGTTAGGCTCACATATGAAAAATAAAGAAACAAGAAAAAAAAGCTGCAGGCAGGAGCATACGATGGTAGGGGCTGACAGCACACAAGATACATGCTGAAACTATTCTGTAGGATACTGAAATGGTGGATACTGACCTGCATTCGTCAAAACCCACAGAACTGTACGACACAGAGAATAAACCTTAAAGTAAATGATAGACTTTATTTAATAATAATACATGAATATTGGTTCACTAATTGTAACAAACATACGGCACTAATACAAGATCTTTGTTACAAGATGTTAATAATAGGGGAAACTATGTGCAGGGAAGCAGGGCAGAGGGAAACAGCTGTCCTAGCTGCTCAATTTTACTATAAACTTTATACTGTTCTAAAAAGTGAAGTCTAATTTTCTTAAAACTAAAAATAAATAAAGAAATAACCAGAAGGCAATACATCAAAATATGAATAGCACCGTTTTTGGATAGTGAGATTATGACTAACTGCTTTTTTGTTTTTTACTTTTCTGATTTTCTGCATTTTAATTTTATCAATCAGGTAAAACTAATGAAAAGTTTTACAATCTTGTCTGCCTGACTATTCTCTGAGGCAGGAACTGTGTTGGCTCACAGTGCTCTGTGGTCTAGTTCCCCAAACACAGCAGGAATTTAGTAAGTTTTGTTAATAGAGCACATGCACTTTTATATATGTCTTTAACTCTGTCTGCCTTGCAGCCTGCAAGCTGATCGCCTCATGGCCCGAGAGAGGGCAGCAAATTAAAGTAATAATTGTGAGAGGAACAGATCAGAGCATCTAACGAGTGGTTGGTTGGGTCACTGTAAATTGAAAATCTCTCCTTAAGTGGCTAGAGGCCTGCGTGGGCATCTCGAGAAGCCTCTATTAAGTGGCATCAATGGGTAGAGTGGTGGGTGCTGATATAAGACCAAACCCAAGATATCATGTCATCAAACAAGAAGCATGGGCAAGGCTTTGGCACATAGAAATTGCTGCAGTGGGATTGGTTTGAGAATTGGGAACAATTATACCAAAAGAATTCTTAGTTGAGTGTCTGATTCTTGGTGAACAGTCAACAAATTGTAACTGATACTTGAGAGCATTAGAGGGGTTTGTTAGATCCTAGTTTTAGGATTATTTAGGAATAAAGCTCAGAGATAAAGCAATCCTTCATATTAAAGTTGTTTTACAATTTACAATGCTTCTTGACATTGACCTCATTAACTGCCTTCATTTGTAACCTTGTATGACTGCAAGCTCCTTGAAGACAGGGCCATGTCTTGGTTTTGTATCTCCCCCTCTTAACACTATGTCTGGCACATGGTGGGTTCTTACAATGGATTAAAGGCTCTTACTGCAAATTCACTGATGCCTCCCATCCAGAGGTGATGTCTATGTATTTTATTTCCCCTTTTGATTCTGGGCCTGTGACTATTTTGACCAACTGAGTATGGTGGAAGTGACATTATGACACCTCTGAGCCTAGCCTTAAGGCAAAGTTGGTCTCTTGGAGCCCTGAGCTTTCATGTAAGAAGCCCAGCTACCCTGCTGATGAGTCCCTGTGAAAAGGCCTAAGACCACATGGAGAGGGAATGGAGCCCAGCAGAGTCCAGCCTTCCAGCCTTCCTCGTCAAGGGATCAGATAAGTCGACAAAGCCATTTTGAGCAGTCCAGATCAGATCAGCTGCTATTTGAATATCTCAAAGGACTCCAGCTGACTCTACAGGGAGCAGAATCAGCCAGCTGAGTCCTGTGTGAGTTTCTTATCAACAAAAGTCATGAGATACCTCGAAATGATTGTTTCAGCCACTAAGCTGGGTTCATTTTTTATGCAACAATAGATAGCTAGAACCGCTCTTACTAGATGTTTGCTATGGATGGATAAATGGATGGGTGGATGGGTGGATGGGTGGATGGATGGATGGATGACTTAGAAGGGCCATTGTTTTTCCTAGAGGAATAATGCTCAGAGAAAAAGCAATTTGCCAGAGTTCCTGTAGTAAGCATTTGTCATTATTTCCTCCTCCCTTAGCATCTAAACCTCCTTCTCCTTTTGGAGAATTTTTGGTCTTATTAGGTAGAGCTACTTCAAATTACAGAAATGAAAATACCATGTATGCCCTTCCACAGCCTTCCTTAAAGCTAAGGTACAGGCCCGTGGTGCAAGATCTTCCAGTGAGACACTCCTGCCTCAAACTGAATCAGAAATTGGGGCAGGCTCCATTCCAGTAGCTGGGGGGCAGCAGTTGGAGTCTCAGCAACACAGACCCTCCAGAAGCCCCGCAGCCATAGCCCCAGCAGCAGGGTCCCGTGTCCAGGCTCCCTGGTACAAGCCCCCCAGCCAGGTCCCATGTCTAGTGATATGAGCCAGGGTTGCTGTGTCCGGCAGCAGCAGTATCTTCACTGCATTGTGAATCCAGGCCGTTCTTCCTACCTCCAAGTTTGTCATCTCTCCCTCTCAGGGGTGGGGTGAGCTATGCTGTCCTATATGTTTTTAATAAGTTTCCTCTCTGCTGAAAGCTAGGAACCCTGGCTGACAGTACCAGATGCGGATTTCTCATTCTAGGATGCCATGTTCTCTATGAATAGTTTTCAAATGGTGTCCTCAAGGTCCTAGGGTTCTGCAGAGGAAAAACAATGGGGCAAGAGAGCAGAACTCAGGACCCCCATCCCCCACACTTCCAAACAAGCCGCTTTTACGTTTCTTTTGGAGACAGAGTCTCGCTCTGTCGCTCAGGCTGGAGTGCAATGGTACAATCTTGGCTCACTGCAACCTCTACCTCCTGGGTTGAAGTGATTCTCCTGCCTCAGCCTCCCAAGTAGCTGGTATTACAGGCATCTGCCCCCACACCTGGCTAATTTTTGTATTTTTAGTAGTGACAGGGTTTCACCATGTTGGCCAGACTGGTCTCGAACTCCTGACCTCAGGTGATCCACCCGCCTCGGCCTCCCAAAGTGCTGAGGGAGGCTGGTACTTGCCCAGTCACTTTTATATTTTTAACACTTTATATTTTTAATACTTTACATTAAATTGATATTTTTATATTATTTTTATAAATATGAATAGTTGATATTATATTTTAATACTTTATATTTAATACTTTATATTTTAATACTTTATAGTTTTAATACTATGATCTTCTATAAAATTTTCTTTGGAAGAATAGTTCTGTTTCTAAAAAGCAAGGTTGAAAATGACCACTTACACATATAAAACCATAACCCATGTAATAGATTGTTTGGTGAAGAAAAGAGAATTAAGCAAGAGAAATGGTCACATAAATGTCACAGTGAGCCCTAAAAGAGATGCTTTTGGGGCCGGGCGCAGTGGCTCACACCTGTAATCCCAGCACTTTGGGAGACTGAGGCGGGTGGATCACCTGAGGTCAGGAGTTCAAGACCAGCCTGACCAACATAGCTAAACTCTGTCTCCACTAAAAATACAAAAAAATTAGCCAGGAGTGGTGGTGGGTACTTGTAATCCCAGCTACTCAGGAGACTGAGGCAGGAGAATTGCTTGAACCCAGGAGATGGAGGTTGCAGTAAACCGAGATCGTGCCATTGCATTCCGGCCTGAGCAACAAGTGTGAAACTCCATCTCAAAAAAAAAGAGATGCTCTTGGCTGGGTGCGGTGGCTCACACCTGTAATCCCAGCACTTGGGGAGGTCAAGGCGGGTGGATCACAAGGTCAAGAGTTTGAAAACAGCCTGGCCAATATGGTGAAACCTCTACTAAAAATACAAAAGTTAGCTAGACGTGGTGGTGGGCTAGTGGTAGTCCCAGCTACTTGAGAGGCTGAGGCAGGAGAATTGCTTGAACCCGGGAGGTGAAGGTTGCACTGAGCCGAAATCGCACCACTGCACTCCAGCCTGGGCGACAGAACAAGACTCCATCTCAAAAAAAAAGAAAAAGAAAATAGAAAAAGAGACTTTCTTTGTTTCACAGTAGGTATCTCCAGGGGTTCCTCCTAGTTAAGGTTGGTTTTGACAGAAAAGTAAAACAGGACATTGCGGGGAGAGGCGATGACAAAGACTGTTTGCCAATATACATCTAGATATGGTTACTTAGAAGGTGTAGAAATGGAACCCCTGGGCCTTTCCTTTTGAAGTTTAATGTTATTAGAACATCTCAGTGGGTAGTAGCAGGGCCCTACACAACCAGCAGACTGGCAGTCACACCAGGGGAAAGGCCCATGAGGGATGATGAAATCTAGACGATGATGCAAGTTCAACCCCCAAGGACATGTCCTTCTCAAGGTGGGCTTGTCCCAGCATGCATCAGGCTACAAAATCTCCTGTCCCAGGCACCTTGAACTATGGGGAATCCCTCTGGGGCAATGGCTCTGTGTGTCTGTTCATGTATGTGTACACGCACACGGGTGTGCCTGTGCAAACATAGAGATGCTGACGGTAACACCAGCACCTTCACCTGTGGTGGTGTAGAATGATCCCAGCTGAGGCTGGTGAGAAGGGTCGTCTTTTCCCTCCCCCCAGCCATAAGCAAAGGCTGCTGGCAATTGGCCAGAGCCTCAGGACTGGAGCATCTCTAATCTTCAACCACCACAGGAGGGAGCAGGGTCTGCCTTCAACCCACAGCACATCTTGCAAGGCAGCGAAAGCCCCAGAGCAGCACAGATGGGGCTCCCTGGACCAAGTGGCTTTGGGGTTCCTTAGACTCAGCACTAGAGTTGGGGAGATTCCAGCAGAGGCAAGAAGGACATTCTCTTGACAGTAATATGAGAGCTCGAGCTATTTTATTTGAATATGTTTTAAAGCATGGCTCTACTTTGTACTCCAAGCTGGAGAGATAGGAAATGTGTTCTATACACTGTCCTTGGGTTGGAAGAAACCTTAGGGTGACACAGACAATGAACGATGTACACGTAAAGCAGTGGTTCTTAACCAGGGAGTGATTTTGACAACGTCTGGAGACATTTTCAGTGGTCACAATGGAGGCAGGGGTCTTACTGACATACAGTGGATAGAAGTCAGGTGTGCTGCTAAGCCCTATGATGCACAGCTCAGCTCCCCAAAATAAAGAATTATCTGGCTCAAAATGTTAATCTGAGGTTGGGAACCCTGACTTAGAGCAAGAGAGATCACTTCCAGCTGGTTAAAAAATAAACCAAGGGAAAAGATGAGAAATGTGTAAGACACCATGTCAGGGAAAT